TTATAGACGGAAGGAAGACACTACTGTCATCGCAGAAACATCCCCTGAGTAGCCCATCCCATACTCCTTGAGAATCTCGGGTCAGATGCTAGAACTACATATTTCAATATAATTCCTATTCGTTCTGTTACTTATTTTAAAACATTATTCTGAGAAGAGGTCCATGGGATTCTCCAGAAGGCCAAAGGGATTTATTCCACAAAAGGGGTCAAGAAATCTAATCTAGAGGGGGTCCCCCAAAATATATATATATATATACACACATTTTGAATAATTATAAAGGCAATGTTTATGAAAATACATTTCATTATCAAAATTGAGCTATCAGCTGTCAAAGTGTCTATACATTTTGGGGGGCCACCCTGTATATTGGCTCTACAGGTAATTTGCCTGCCTAGAGGGTGAAAGATGATCTAAAAGTTATTATTGTAAGATCCAGAGACCTAGAAGCATGGAACAGACTGTGGAATCCCAGAGGGAAGGTGGGGTACAAAAGAACTTGTACCCATATATGCCTAGCCCATGCACACAGACAATAGGATGGTGGAGGCCTGGGTGTGTGTGTTTGGGGGGGGGGGGGCGAGTGCTAGAAGAGGTCAAAGGGAGAAAATAAGAAACATAAGTAATACTTTCAACAATAAAGATTTTAATAATAAAATAAATAAAAGTTATTATGTGTCCACCAAGGATTTCTGCATTTTGCATAAATTTAGACTTTTTGCAACTCAAGACCTTTTTGTTCCCTCAGGTCCCTTGGGTATTACTATCGTTCTTACCACCTACTGTACTTGGCTTTGAATAAAGTAGGTAGTTTAAACATCAAGACAGTATAACGCCGCATTAGTGCCAATAACCTCTGGGAACCCATGTTTCCTCATCTGTAAAATGGGGTAAGAATTGTGCAACCAGTTAGAAATGAGGCGGTACCTACATGAAATAAACATAAAACATGTAATGAAAGCTCTGACATAAAATGTTCTGGCCAAAGTGTAAACAACGGTTTGAAAAACAACTAGAAAAGACCTAGTAAGTTTGGGGATACACAAACCCCCTGTTGTGACTGAGTGAGTGATCAGCGTTGCAGTGTGTTGTGTTTTTTTATTGGAGTACTAAAAGCATATCTGTTCTTATTTACTAGTAAAAGCTGCAAAGCACCAAGTAAGTGAGACGTGGCTGAAACATGGTATCATAGATAAAACATCTGGGTAAAGATCAGCACGTCTCACTTCCCGTAGGCATGTTGTTCATGGTATAGAACTAATTTGGTTGGTGGATTCCCGAGATAGAGTCATGATTACAAAAACTAGCTTTGCAGTCTGAGTTCTAGTCACTTTAAGAACCAGGCAAATCACTTTAATTTTCTTAAATGATTTTTTATTTTTCAGTTGCAGTTTACGTACAAATCTTATTTATTTTTTTAAAAAAACTGTTTACTCAACCGTGATGGAAAAATACTATTATCTATCTCAAGGATTTGCTGGAGGAATATGAAAGTAATACAAACAAAAGCACAATGTAAAGTGAAAGTGAACGCTTGTAAAATGAATTGTCTCAATAGGTAGCTCCAGACTCTGCGGCTGGCGTGGTTTTAACCTGCTTCTTTGGCGTCCACATCATTCAGTTTTGTTCTATTCAACTCCTACTGCTGAATGTCTGCTCCTGCCAAAATGCTTAAGGGTTTTGTCTCGCTGGGACAATGGAGACCCAAGAGGCCAATTTCACTGTCACTGGGCTCCAAAGCTTGTAAAATAGTAACCTGTAAGTCGGTTAATGATAGTTTAAGCCGGCAGAGTACTCATTATGAACCAGAAACTATGCTAAGTGTTTTCATCTAATCCTCACACTACCACTCGGAAATCAGTTCTTTTATAATCTCCAGATTGCACATGAAAAAACTGAACTTTGGAGAAGTGATGTAACTTGTCCAAGGTCACAATTCTGTGCTTACCCGGGTCCTGGGAATCCGTGAACATAGCTTCTAACCCAACTCTATCTGTAAAGGTTTTCACTCCTAAAAGACTTTTTATGAACCATGATGTCCATAAAACTATAAAGTTTAATGCTGAAAAAAAGACGTAGATATCACCTTTAGTTTATTCTCCTTTATTTATTCATGTACCCATTGTTTGATTTTTTTTATATATATATTTTATTGATTTTCCACAGAGAGGAAGGGAGAGAGATAGCGAGTTAGAAACATCGATGAAAGAGAAACATCGATCAGCTGCCTCCTGCACATCCCCCACTGGGGATGTGCCCGCAACCAAGGTACATGCCCTTGACCAGAATCGAACCTGGGACCCTTTAGTCCGCAGGCCGACGCTCTATCCACTGAGCCAAACCGGCCTCGGCTGTTTGATATTTCTTAATCATTGATCGATATTTATCACAAGTGACTAATTAATAGATTAAAATAAATAAAAAATTGAAGGCAACATCTGCATCTTCCTTAAGTATGAGGTTGTATGCTTTATGGCCAGCACAGCTGTGGTGGGGTACAAAGATGCATCAGATGCAAATTCTCGTTCTTAGTTTGCCATCTACATGAACAAAGTTAATCAAATTATTTTATGTGTGTTACATATGATCTAACCCATCACCTCTATAGATAAGAGAATGGAGGCACAAAGAGATAATACCTTGGGTAATAACTGGGTGATTCAGTCCGTCAAACCATGTTGTCACAGACCCATAAAGTCCGAAGGTCCCTAGTGCCCTTCACCTGCTAATATGAGTAAAACCAGACGTACAAAGCGGGCGTTAGGAAAGATGAGTTTGTAGTTTTGCCTGGTGGGGCATCTACTTTGTGCGAACTTTATTCAATGAAACTGACATTTAAGAAAACTGCATTTGCCGAAACCGGTTTGGCTCAGTGGATAGAGCGTCGGCCTGTGGACTGAAGGGTCCCGGGTTCGATTCCAGTCGAGGGCATGTGCCTGGGTTGCGGGCACATCCCCAGTGGGAGGTGTGCAGGAGGCGGCTGATCGATGTTTCTCTCTCGTCGATGTTTCTAACTCTCTGTCTCTCTCCCTTCCTCTCTGTAAAAAAATCAATAAAATATATCTTTTAAAAAAAAGAAAGAAAGAAAACTGCATTTGTCCGAATCCTGGAAGGGGTCAGAGAATAAAGTCATCATCCCCCTTCCTTCCAGTAAGGAGATTCCAGAGAGAGCTGGAAGTATTGGGTTACAGGTCCCTTCCGCTGCCTGGCTAATCAGCAAGGGGGATCTGAGTTCAGCGCTAGGGCATTTCACACCCAGTGTCTAGGGTTTCACTTGGGCTGTGATCTCCAGACTGCAGACCTGCACTGTCCTACTCAGCAGCATAAATACTGGTGCCTCTTTTTTTCTTTCTTCCTTTTTTTTCTTTTTTTCTGGACACTTGGAACCTTCTCTTAGAGTGAAGGTCTCCGGTTTGGTCCGAAGCCAGGCTGTCTTTCTCTGGGAATGTAGACTAGGCTCCTGGTGACGTTAGCTGACTTTCATGTAGACCAGTTCCATCTGGGAAAAGGACTCCTTCGGGTCCCCTTTACTCACTACCTCACTAGGGTGGTGTGTCCATGAGGACAAATCAGATTTGTTTGCAAATTTGAAAACCTTATAATGGTACTCCTCTCTTTCCTTCAAACCCTACGTATAATGAATCAACATTTTTACTATTTCTACTGCCCACCTAGCTTGACTTTGTTTACTTCTTTCGTTTTTTTAGAAAATATATTTTTATTGATTTCAGAGAGGAAGGGAGAGGGAGAGAGAGAGATAGAAACATCAATGATGAGAGAGAATCACTGATCGGCTTTCTCCTGCACGCCCCACACTGGGGATCGAGCCCACAATCCAGGCATGTGCCCTGACCGGAAATCAAACCGTGACCTCCTGGTTCATAGGTCGATGCTCAACCACTGAGCCACACCGAGGGGGCTTATTTACTTCTTTCTATCTGCACTGCTCACCCTCGCCAAAGCCACCATCACCGTCCCCTTGACTGCCCAGTGACCTTCTAACTGGTTGGTCTCCCTGCTGGAATCCATTCCCCACACAGACAGAGAGAACTGTGTCAAAAATGCCAAATGTCACTCCCCTCTTTAGAATAAGAGTTCACAGGCTTCACATTGCATTAAATAACATTCAAACTCCTCACCCAGCCTACAAAGTCATGCCATTGGCCCTTCCTGACTCTCCATCCCCACCCTCTCCACCCTCCCCTCACTCACTAGGCTCCAGCTAAGGGCTTCTTCACCTCAGAAACATGGCCCTCCTGTGTTCTCTGCTTCAACTGCTCTCTGCAGGCTCTTCACTCATTTTTGTCCTTCTGGTATCAGCCAGAATCTTCCTTCCAAGGACTCTCCTCCCCCAGCCTCTTTTATTTGCTATCTCAGCCTTTTGTTTATTTTCCTGTGTAAAAATTGATTGCCGCTTGTGATTGGACCTGTGCCCCAGGGCGTGGGGGGGCAGGAGGAAAACAATAAGAAGTAAACTAGTAAATGTGAATTGCTTTCCAGCACTGATCTTGATCTGTAATTAGTTGAGCATTTGTCTCCTCCATCAGAGCATAAGTTCAATAGCAAAGACCTGTCCATCCCTCTCACCTTTTCTTCCCCAGTAACTACCTCATGCCTGGCACATAAATATCTGGTGAGAATCAGTATTAGGATTCTGTTGAGATATATCAACAGAATTCTGTGGGATATATAT